TCACAGAGGTGGCAGCAGGTGCCAGATCAAGGGAGCTGCCTTTGAGCAGAGCATGGATGTTCGCCCCTTCTGTAACTTCCTTAGAGGTTGTCTTCAAAGCAGCAATCACACATATTTTCCAACACTGCCAGGAACATGTGAAAAGGGAGTACCCAGGTAAAAGTATTTTTATCCCCTTTCTGCAGTCTGGAGAACAGCTCTCAAGATATGATACTTTATTCCAGGGTTGTTTTGTTTCCTTGTCATCATTCCTCCTATGGGAAGTGGATCCCTGAACCCTTGGCTGCATTAGAGATTGATATAACCATCTACATAACACCACTGCAATTAACAGAGTGCACATTTATGCCATGAGTCCACATGTTCATGCCAAGGGTTGCATTTGCTATTTAATCCAGCAAAATTCATATGAGATTTTTTTTTTTTTCTCAGTGCTACACAAAGGTGCCTGACTAGCTTTCAATACCATGAAATGAAAAGTAGAGCAAGATATTTTGTTCTGTATTTGTGCAAATGGCTTAATCTCAGCAGGATATCTGTTCCACAAAAGCTTTGAAAGGCAAACAAATTATTTATATGCATCACAAAAACCATCACAACTTCCACATCTAATTAGCACAATGTGGTAACATTCACAGTGATATGCTGTTCACCATAATCTCCTCCCCAATGGTTTATTTTCTGCTTTCACGGTAATGTTAAGGAAGACAGCTCATCTCACATTCTACACATCAAGCCATAAACATTTATCAGGGTGTCAGCAGAGAGTAACGGTTACAGGTTGTCAATATCTAATCTGCAGTAAAATTAAATCATAGACCATTAGACCCAGTTCATCAAGGAAAGAGTTCAGGGCAGGTTCTGAACTGCAGGTCAGGAAGCGTCTAAACGAAGCATATGCAATCTTCTGCCCCTTTTGACCATGGAAACAGCACAGAGTATCTGCACATGCACGCTACATATGCACAGCATCACCCCACAGCACACCTTGTTTTTAAGAACAGGCTGCATCAGCACTACTGCTCCTGAGGAATCACCACATTGCTCTTGTGGACAGGCAGCCTCGACCCCATTGCTTACGTGACAGAGACCAGCACAGGACCAAAGGGCTGTCGTCAGCTTTCAGTGATGGGATAATTTCCAAGAGTTTCTTGTCTGTGGGAACTTTGTGTAACCCGCTAGTAAAAACCACACCTGATATCCGAGGAGGTGTGCCCCTTGTTTTCCTTTTGTAGAATCATAGAATGGTTTGGGTTGGAAGGGACCTTAAAGATCACCTAGTCCCACACCCCTGCCCCAGGCAGGGCCCCCTTCCCCCAGCCCAGGGGGCTCCCAGCCCCGTCCAACCTGGCCTTGAACCCTTCCAGGGAGGGGGCAGCCACAGCTGCTCTGGGCACCCTGGGCCAGCGCCTCACCCCCCCCACAGGGAACAATTTCTGCCTTACATCTCACCTAAATCTGCCCTCTTTCAGTTTAAAACTGTTAGCCCTTATCCTATTCCCACACCCCCTGATCCAGAGTCCCTCCCCCTCTTCCCTGTCCCCCCTTTAAGCCCTGGGAGGCCACTCTCAGGGTCCCCCCGGAGCCTTCTCTTCTCCAGGCTGACCCCCCCCAACTCTCTCAGCCCGGCCCCCCAGGGGAGCTGCTCCAGCTCCCCCAGCATCTCCGTGGCCTCCTCTGGCCCCGCTCGAGCAGCTCCGGGTCCTTCTGCTGTTGGGGGCCCCTGAGCTGGCCCCAGCACTGCAGGGGGGTCTCCCCAGAGCGGAGCAGAGGGGGAGAATCCCCTCCCTGGCCCTGCTGCCCCCCCTGCTCTGGCTGCAGCCCAGGGCACGGGTGGCTTTCTCATTTGTAGAGACATGCCCAAGCCACCAAAACATGAAAATGAAAGGAGTTATGATCCTCTGTTAGCAACCCAACGTGGTAACCATGCTCTTCATTAAATGACTGTGAAAATGGCATGCCGCTGTGCAATGCTGTTCTTCCTGCATCCTCTTCCCTTCCAAAGCAGGACCACACCTATCTGATTTTTTATAAACTCCCAGTGATCAGAAGTGTGGAAATAATAACACTCATTTACCAGATTAGTAGAACTTCTTCCGTTTCAAAGACTTCTCCGTGCTTTCTAAAGTTTAATAAACTTGGCTTGATGGAAGCTCCTTCCTCCAAAGTATCCGAGAGGAGCATTTAAAAAGAAAACCTGCCCTTGGGCTGACTGTCAGCATCCATGCCTTCACCCGCTTTGTGCAGCTCAAAGGTGAGACAAACCTCAGGCCTGAAGCCAGCTGCCTGTGCCAGACTAGTGCTAAAGCAAAGTGTAAGGAGTGGGGTTGAGCTGAGACCCCGAGTCAAACCTTCAGCTAATGTGGTAATACAGCCCCAGCCCGAAATGCTGTTGTTTCCTACAGCACAGGCTGAGAGCAGTACAATAATGCTTTGTAAATCTCACCTGCTCTGAGCTGATAATATTGTTCTCCTTTAAGAGACTGAGTCACTGGGAGATGTAAGGTAGTGGTGACGACTGAAGCGACTTGTTTGGCTGGCTCTCAGGAGAGGACAAAGATGCCTTTGCCTACTGCTGTAGCCTTGCCACAGGACTTCCTTTTACCCACTTGGCCAGTAACGGCTAAAATACTAAGAATTACCTTCACAGGCATTTCAGTTTTTATAAAAACACGGGCCGGAGGGTAGAGAGTACCAGCCCCGCAGGGTTCCCACTGTTTCCTGTTTGTTCTAGATCTCTTTCATGGGCAATTTTCTTCCAAAGCTTTCTCCTTCGAAGCACGTTACTATTCTGCTTAATCCTCATTCAAACTTCAGTTTGCCACAGGTAACTCAGTCAGGCAGCATCCACCACTGCTGTCATCAGAAAGATGCTGAGGGCTTTGGAAACCCCTCGTCAGAACATCAGAAGCAACTTTTCCATTCAACTCTGCTCCAATTTCTTTTGCTTGTTTTGACCCATGCCAGGTCAAAATACTGCAAGGTAGTGTCATCTAAAAATTAAAAAAAAAAAAAAAAAAAAAAAAAAGGATAATTAAATGACTTAATTATTTGTGGCTAGATTTCTCTTTTGCAGCGTGTGTCTGCTTGTATTATGATATCAGTTTCACCTGCTAGCATATGCAATATGAGCCTCCCTGCGAGAAAGGAAAACGAGAGCTGCTTTCTCTGCCTGTTCTGCTAATCTGCCCCTGCCCTACTTATTGCTCATACATCTAATTTGGCATAAGGTGACACACATCCCTGGCACAGGCATTCACATTTTTACAGTACTGTGGCTTGGCAGTTTATTTCTTACTTAGGTGTGTCCTTCCTAAATAGGCAAGCTAATGGAGAAAATTTACTCATTTCATCACTCATTTAATCTCATGCGTTTCAATTTGTCATACTTTGCCGTGTCTATTTCTGACATCTCACTTCTTGTATCAAGGAGATATATATTCTCCTTGGAAGTATTCTGCCACTGACACTTCTTTATTCCGAGTAATCTCTTTGAAACAGCCTCACATTTGTTATCAAGACCTCCACACGCCTCCCAGCACTCAGAAGAGAAAGCACAAATGTAACTGATTGTGAATTCTGTAACTTGGCTAATGTTCCAGTAATTTGCTAATAGCTTTTACTTTCTCCAGAAGTATTCGTTTCTGTCTACAGGCTGCTAGATGCTGGAGGACAGAGTCTGCAAGGAACTCAGGGAAGCTGGCAAAGGAAAACTTCCACAACAGCTCCCCAGTTAAAAATCATCTTATCCTGGGATCGGTGCAGACCTCTTGATACCATTTTCTCTAATTAAATCTCTGAGAGAAAGTTATGAAGTGAATTTCAAAATAAACATTTTTACTTGGTGGAGTTGGCAGCATAAGGAAACTGTTTTGCAAAGAAGTGTGCAAATGCAGTTTTACAGAAAGTGTCAAATAAATGTTTGCTTTTGCTCTTAGAAACCTTTGCTCAGTGATACTTGCAGGAAGGATTCCCCTGTGCCAGTGTCTGCCTGGGGGATGGGAACTGTGTGAAAAATAACAGTGTGTTAGAATGCAAAACAAGCAGCTGAGAGAACAAATACAGAATACTTAATGATAATGTCCAGGCAGCCGTCCACTGTGCCCTGTCCAGACACTTAGATCAAAGTCTTATGCAAATGCTCAAAGGCATGATGCCAGGTAAAAGCAAACTCTTAAACAGCTCTGGATGTAAAAGCAGCTCCATTCCCACACTTTGATAATCCAAAAGACGTTATTTTTTTAATCTTTTCTAAGTTCTTGAACAAAAGTATTCAACAAAAGCCTTGGTAAAACAAAACAAAACAAAACAAACCAAAACAAAACAAAACAAACACACACAACAAAACAGTTCCTCCCCCCCAGCCTTTTCTCCCTTATTCGTTTCTGGTATATTTGTATTAATCCCATTCATATATGCTGCAACACTGATACAAGTTCCAAGGTAACTTTGAGGGGAATGAAAACAGTTCATTTCTCACAATTTCTTTGTCTCTATAAAAGCTGGGTTCTGCCTCCACTGAAAATGCAAAGGTTAATTTTCTAGTTGAAGTTTTGGACTGAGACTCAGAAGACACAGTGCTTGCTACATATTTGGGCTACTCTGGATGCATTACCTTAGTTCTGTACACCATGATCCGTCTCAGCTTCAGCTTCCTTTGACGTCCCTTCCTCCTTCTACCCCTTATCAAACCCTGTCAGTTTGAGCCCAGCAGAGCGTAAGAAACTATTTCCACAGTCTTTGCTCCTCAGCACCATTTGGGTAAGCAGAATGATGGAAAATATCACTGAATCAATATTCGGGAAGAGTAAAGACTATGAAAAATTAGTTCTTACAGGTATTTCTACGAGCCCTGTTGGCATACTGTTAGTTTATTCCAAAAGTAATTCCTGGGAAGTGAATACTATTCCATGTGAATAATGTAGTGAGACAGCAGAAAGAACAAGGTATGGGGAGTTGAGGTCCGATAATTTTAAACATGAGCCTGTACTGCTTTGGAATTTCTGTGAGACCATTTATATAATAAAGTTACAATTTAAAAAGCCTTACAAATACTGGGAACATTAATAGTGCAAAGTGAACTTCACCTAAGTAGAGTCGGTTCACACAGGTCACTCTTTAAGGCAAGTCATCAATACCTTGTTTTTAAACAAAGGGAGATAACGCCTGTGTTACACCTACTTATGGCCTACACACGGGTTTTCTGTGCTTGCAAGGAGTTCATGTGGTTTTAAGCAGAGCTTGCGGAGACTGACACAAGCATCAAACCAGCATCATTCAGCTCGTCCCATGGCTGCTCTGCTGAGACAATATGAAAAGCTAGAGGATGTGTCCAAGCCAAAAGTGGCATCTGCATTAAGTACCTGGAGAGGAAGGAAGCTCTCTGGAAATATAACAGAATCCCTCTAAAACAACAAGAGACAGAACACTATGAGAATAATAGAAGAAAACAGTACCATTTAAGAAAGCAGGAAAGAAAGATGGTGGGATAACTGTAGACGGGAGAGGGACACAAGCAATGGAAACACGAGGGGAAAGGTGAGTAGAGCACCAGGAGAAGGAGGAGAAACCGTGACGGGTGGCAGCAATAGCGACGCCAGCTGCACTGCTTGCAGTCATGAGAGACTAAGACTTTTCCTGCAGTTGTCAGAGGTTTCTTTATTCTTTTACTCTCAGGTTACTAACAAGGGCCTCCAAGTGCCCTTGGAGCCTGCACTTGCCCCAGCTGCTGGCCCGGCCCTGGTTTTGCTGATTTCTGGCGACATCCCTGTCTGCCAGTGGAAGTTGAGGAGAAGCAGCTTCAACAGTTCTCCCTTGCCCATGCAGCGGCTCCTTGCTGCAGAGAACACCACAGCCTGCTCTGTGTCACGGCTGAGATGAACTGTCACTCCCATTTTAAAGCAGTTCAATTATCAGTTGTCACAAACGGTACCAAAGAGTTGTTAGTGATACTGTGGTATCTCCAGCGAGTAAATCAGGAGTATAAACAATTTTTAACTGAAATGAGAGATTGTTCATAGCTCCTCTCTCACCATCAAAGCATCAAATGCTCCTTTTTTTCTTCTCCCAGGGAGTTGATACTCCATTTTTTCTCCAAGCTGTACAAAAGTTGGTGTTCTATACAGCAGCTGGCAAAGGTTACTCCATTGTCTTTTCTCATGCTTAGTGTGACTTTTTGGCCGTGTTTTAGCTAACAGAATTTGGCAGACTGTAGAAAAAAAAAATGCACCTAAAGATTAACACTTCGAATATTTTACCATTAGTTTCACAAGACCGGAAGCAACAGACAAAACTATCAGAAAATTGTTATTTTCCCCCCTTTAGAAATGAGCAAAGACACAAAACCGAAGCAAGTGAAGCAAAGGTATTCCAGTTCACATGGGGCCCCACATCGTGTTAATAAATTCTATTGCTATTCTGGAGATAAGGTCAGAGGCGCGTCTATGCTCGAAAAGGCAAGAAGTTTATCTTCACAAAACCAAGAGTCACCACCTTCGACAAAATCTGCACGCATGAAAGAAAAAAGTTTCTCCTTTGCATCAAATTACCCATAAAAAGCCCAACATCATAACTTGGTGTAGGCCTGCTGAATTTTCGGTGTATCAATGAATGCTTCAGAGCAATTTTGCATGAGCCAGTGTTTCTTCTCCTTCACAAGTATAGTGAAACATGCAGATGCACTGGAGAATTACATTATTAAACGTGCTGCAGAGTATATTAAAAATGGGTTCCTGCTGAAAGTTTGTTTGTTTTGCACTGCAGTTCTCTTTCTGAGTCTTGCTGATGATCGTTGCTATTACTTAAGTCTCCATCACTTAATCATCCGATTCCCCTGGGAAGCAGGGAAAGGGAAGAGGAAGGGGGAAGAAGAAATCTCACCAGCCGGTGCAATGCCTTTGGTCAACAGAGAACAGGGACTTTGACAGAAGTCAGCTGCCTCCTTGGGTCGTTGCTCTGAGATGGTACCACGACCCTCAAGAGGCTGCAAAAGAAACCCAGCCATCACGTTACCACTGAGAGAAGGTCAGAGCACGCACAAAGCACTGCTGTTGAAAAGGTTCCCCCATCCAACAGCAGCAGCTTTTCCCTGCCCTCACCTCCCCATCAGTGGCAGCAGCAGCAAACTGACCGTCTCACAGACTTCCCTCCCCAAGTGTCATCTCTTTCAGTCCCATGCTTGCAGACATTTTCCACATTTGCTTTGCAAGTTAGGTCCATATCTAAGGGAGAGAAACAGACATTAAATTACTTGTTAAAAAAACCAAAAAAACACCACCAAAAACTAAAAACTAAAAAAACAACGAAAACACATGAAATTCACCTCAGCGCAGATGTAGAGGACTTCAAACGCATCGCTGCGTCCCTACTGAATTGCGGAAAACAGACTCCACAATCTGATAGATTGTAAAGTAGGTAAGTTTATTCAGCACTGGGCACACAGGGGATCGCTCCTCCTAATGTGTGTGCTGCCATGTGGCACCGTTGCCTTAGATTTATAGAGCAAATGATTACATATTCATAATATTTCGCAATACGCCTATACATATGCATCACCTATCCCCTCTTCGTATTAAAATTAGCATTTCCATGATCTCCTCCCAGTTGAGTCTGCGCAGTGAGTTCCTTTGATCCTGGGCAGGGGTCGTGAAGGACTGGGCGGTGGTCGTGGGAGGAAGTATCTCCTCTTCCTTAGTGCTGAACTTTTCACCCCGAATTCCTGCGCAGTCTCTGTCATCCCCTGGACCCGCAGAGCAGGTTTGTGCCGGTTGTGGGGTAATCTTCACTTACTCAGGGGTGGAGGAGGCTTTTTACTTAAACAGGAGATAGTGGTCGAGCAACACAAACACAGCACTATCTATCTTGTACGATCTAAAAACTCTTATCTCGACTATTTCCCTTGTCATCCCCTTCTTGCTATTCCCATATTAACCCTTACATCCCCTGTTCCTATCTAGGCCCTGTATCACTACCACAGCTTCACTGATGCATTTCTTCCTGTGGTGACATACGATTACGTCCTTACGTTTGAGCTCGTCCGTTAACCGGCGTTTGCCTTCGTCCCGGCCTCCCACCGAAGCACGCTCTGCGATGAGGAACAGGCTGCCTGACAGCTGCCGACGGCCAGCCGGGGCAACGCCTGCAGCAAGCAGTAGGTAGGCGCTGCAATGCGCATCTTCCCAAGAACACCACACCATGCTGTCCCTGGACGTGCGGCAGCCTCACAGCCGCTGTGTCCCACCAGACCCTGGGACGCGGCGGGTCCTGGCTGGGGATTTGTGGCCCCTCGAGGCCGTGCACCCCTGGAGAGCAGGCGGAACCACCGCCACCCAGCGCCGCGGGGACAGGCGGGATCCTCGGGCACCCTCAGCGCAGCGCTGACACAACGAACCTGCTGCTACCAACACAGGCACCGTCTGCAGAGCGGGGCTGGGAGCTCACCAGCCGCGCCCCACGCTCCCGCAGGCCTCAGCCGCCCGGGACCCCCCTCAGGAGAAGGGGGACGTGACCAGCTCGCCCGCAGCTAATGGCCGCCTGCCCAGAAAATGGCGCCTGCAGGCTGGGGCGCAGCGGCCACGGTCGCACAAAGGCAGGCTTTGTCCCACTTCCATCAGGGTCTCGTTCTTGTTCTCTCGACTGGTCTTCCCAGTTTCAACCCTGCGGTCTGAAATGACGGTTACCTCTTGGCACGTGCCTCAACTGATGCCATGGCTGAGAGATCACATTAAAAAGATTTTGCCCTTTGACAACATTGCTAGCATAAACTTTTCTTCCGGGATGAGGAACGGAAAAAAGCCCAAGGATGAGCCTTCCTGGATCACGTTGGCGATCCCTGCCGATAGCACAGTTTATCTGCTAGGTTCCTGCGTCAGATCAGTCATGCAACATGCCATTAAACTATGGCCTAAGACACAGCACTGAAAGGACAACAAGCAAAATATCACCTCCCAACCGGCACAAACCCGCTCTGCGGTTTAGCCCGGGTCCAGGAGGCGACAGAGACTGCGCAGGAATTCAGGATGAAAAGTCCAGCAGTGAGGTAGAGGAGATACTTCCTGCCCCGACCACTGCCCAGCTCTTCACGACCCCTGCCCCGGACCAAAGGAGCTCACTGCGCAGCCGCAAGGAGGAGGAGACCTAATTATAATAAGAAGCGAGGGTAGGCGGGAATAGGTTATGAATATGTATACGCGTCTCATGAATACGCAACACACTGTAACATATAAGCAAGACTAGAACGGCAGGGGGGCGCGCACGCTTGTTGCGGGGGAGCGTTCCGCCGTGCGCCCGGCGCCGAATAAGCATACCTGCTTTACAACCCTGAGTTGCGAAGTCTTTCATCCGTAAATCAAGTGCTCGGAGAGAAAGGGGAAACAAGGGAATTCTGAAAGCCTCGGAGCCGTCACGCCCCCACAACTCGTGCACTCAGGTCACTGTTGGGCGCTGTGCTGGAAACAGCCGCCAGCGCCCCCGACATGAGCCCCCTCAGGGCACCCTGGGGCCGGCAGCCGCCGCCGCTCCGACCGGCGGGGCCCGCGCGCTCCGCAGCGCCGGCCGTACCGATCGGCCCGGCCGCCCGGGAGCCCCCTCAGGAGAAGGGGGACGTGACCGGCGCGCCCGCGGCTAATGGCCGCCTGCCCACAAGATGGCGCCCGCGGGCCGCGTCGCGGCGGTAACGGTCGCCCGAAGGCGGGTTTTGTCCCGCTTCCATCAGGGTCTAGTTCTCGTTCTCTCGACTGGTCTTCCCGGTTTCAACCCTGCGGTCTGAAATGAGGGTTACCTCTCGGTACCTGCCTCAACTGATGCCATGGCTGAGAGATCGCACTAAGAAGATGCAGCTTCCATTTGGGTACAAAAAATTCTGTTCCTGAACTTCTGTATTGGTTTTGTCCTTGGACAACACTGCAAGCATAAACTTTTCTTCCAGGACGAGGAGCGGAAAACTGTTCGAGGATGAGTCTTCCTGCATCACATTAGCGATCCCTGCCAATAGCGGACTGTATCTGCTAGGTTCCTGCATGAGAAAGGAGGTGTTCTGTGGCTTTGTACAGATGAACTCGCATGAACCTGTAATTCCTGGTTGCCTCAGCAGGGAGACGCGAAGAAATCCGAACAGCGTCGGAGTAAAGGAAGAGGGTATTGCAGGCTGGAATGCCTTTACCGGGGCTCAGTGTCAGATCAGTCACGCGACATGAACTACCCTATGGCCTAAGCCACAGCACTGCAGGGACAACCGGTCCCCGCAAACCAGAAGCCAACAACCTGACTAACTGCCAGTGGTTCAAATTTGCCGTACATTTATGACATAAATTGTGCCTCACGTGTTTGATTTTGCCACCTATTTTTCATGGCCTGTGTGAGTGGAAGAACGCTGTGTCCTTCACAAAATGATGTCACCTCTGTTTTCACAGTGGTTTCTCAAGGATGGGGGGGGGGTCATGTCCGTCAAACCGTGGGCCTCGTGCTTGCCTCTGCTCTGCAACCAAGACAAAGGCACGGGGGGCGTGCAGAAGCCGTTTCCTGAGATCCTGACACTCTGTTACTGTGGGCCAATCTGGAGCGTACCGCCTCAGCATCCACACAGTTTATAAGACTAATCTTATCAAGAGCTTTATTTTAGGTGGATGAGACATTTTATACTGAAAAAGACCCCAGCGTGATGGTGACTGAGGCTGAGATGACTTGGCAAAGGTACCCGCCGTGAGCTGGAGGTGTCTTGGGAAGGAATTAAGAGTATGGAAACAGTGACGCCCTGCAGCCCGTCATCGCTGTTCAGGTGCACGTGGGCAGTTAGGGGAGGTCGGTGCCTGCGCACAGAAGACACGGAGGCAAAGGGCAGGGTCGGGAGGTGGTCCTGTCCCACTGTGATGGGAGGGAGGTGGTGCAAGTGACAGCCCTGTGTGTGGCAAGCAGTGGGGAAAGGGCCGGTGTTCGTTGTGAAAATGTATCCCTAAGTCGTGTTTTGGGGAGCCAGGCAGTAATCTAGCCATCGCCTCTTTCCTCCCTGCCGCGGACACAGGTTCTGCTTATGCAGCTTAAGCCACAGCCGGTCCCGCGGACAGGGGAGGGCACCGGGGGCACTTTGCACCGGGAGCCTTCCCAAGACCCCGATGATGTGCATTTGTAACGGCACCTGGAGGCATTGCCAAAGCGACGGAGTTGGGCTTAAGGGCACACACACGGCTCCTTGTCCAACCTTGCTTGCTGGCACAGCCAGCACCCCCAGCGTGATAACTCTGACGAGACCCGTGTGCGTTCGTGTCCACTGCTGAGCTGCTCCGTGGCACAGAGACGCTGCAGCCGGGGCAGCCATCAGTTCCTCGGCTGGCAATGCGGAAGTGGGAGAGCTGTGGAAGAAGCTCTCACCCTCAGGTCTGGCCTTTGCTGAAACCAGTCCCCCTGCATTCCCCAAAACACAGCAAGAAGTTGTTTCTCACGCAGTTCAGGGCACTGAGGGAGAGTTGAGGCTGGGTTCAACGTTAAGAAAGTCCATCCCTGTCAGAACCAATGACCGTCCTCTGGATTCCAGGTCACCCCTCTCCTAAAGCAAAGCCTCCGGGAGAGACCCGGGCAGAAAGCTGACGAGGCATTTCCCAGGGCATAAGCACCAGTTCGCCTCAGGCACTGCTTCTCTGCGCCCTGCAGGGATGAGATCTGTCAAGAGGCACCTTTCCGCATCTGTGTCTGTTCTCACGCCTCCCGTGACAGCAGCTGGGCTCCTCTGGATGCCAGGGCACAGCCAAGGGAGGCAGGAGCCTGTTGTTATAAAGCAGAGTTCCGAGGGCTCTTTTCTGGGGGAGAAGCAATGGGGCATCTACAAAGGAGCCCGCTGCCGTGATTCCTACTGCCACGCGACACGGCAGCTGCTGAAGCCAGCAGCAGAAAGATCAGGTCTCTGCACCCTCTTGTGAACGTTCTCCACAATTACAGCGGCGCAAATCCACGGGCCGTCTGCGGCAGGGAGAGCGGCTGTGACACTCGCTCCTCCAGCACACCAGCAGGCCAGATGCCGGCGCTGAAGCGCTGGTGCTGTCAGCAGCTGTTGAACACAAGCCACGCGAGAAACAGCGGAACTCGGGGGATTATCCAGCCCCTTCGCTGGCGGGTCACTCCTTTCCACACCGGGCTGCCTCACCGACTCCAAAGACGCCTGAACCTGAGCTCTGCACGCACAGACCCGAAGCCCAAACCCCGGCGCAGGCGCAGACACCTCCAGCAGCACAGACATCAGCCCACCTGGAGAGCTTCCTGCTTCGTCACCCGCTGTGGGGTGCAGAGGCACGTGCTGGAGGGGGCAGGGTTGCAGCTCATCGCGACCGGTTCCACTGACCGCCAGCAGAGTCCGGGGGTGATGCCCAGTTGGGTCCCCGTCGGCCCTGCGGCCAAGCCACCTTCCCCCCTGCCCGCTCTGCCCTGGGCCTCCGCTGCGCTGCGGGCGGGCGGCTGCAGCAGGGTTCCCAGCGGGAGGAGGCGCCGCCGACACGGCCCTGGGGCTGCGGGGGCCCACGGCCGTGCCCCCCAGCAGGCGGGCGCCACTGTCGTGGTTTAGGCCTGATTGACAGCCAACCACAATGCAGCACCTCTCTCTCCCTTCCCCTCCGGCAATGAGAAGGGACAGAGAGCCAGGCTTGGGGTTCAAGATAGGACTGGGATGGGGGAAAATCCCCCTTTTATGATCATGAGCAAAAGGCAGACTCGTTAGGGGAAGAAAAAAAAGAACATACATTTATTACAGACACTAACAACACATAACAGAGTAGGACAGTGAGAAGCATTGCCACATCTTGAGAACACCTTCCCCCCACCCCTCCCTTCTTCCCGGGCTCAGCTCTGCTCCCGATATCTCTACCTCCTCCCCCAGTGGCGCAGGGGCAGGGAATGGGGGGGTGCAGTCAGTGCTGCCACTTCCTTCATCTTCGGTGAGGGGAGTGTCCAAAACTTGTTACCCCCTGCTCCATCGTGGTCCCCCTCTCACAGGAGACAGTCCTCCACAAACTTTCTCTGACTTGAATTCCTCCTATGGGCCGCAGCGTTCCCCACACTGCTCCGTCATGGGTCACTAACTTCCTCCGACTGGATTCTCTCCCACGGCTGCAGCCCTTCCCGAGCTGCTCCGGCGTGGGACTCCCCCGCATGCTGCAATCCTCCCAGCACTGAATTACAGCAGCGGGGCTACCTTTTTCCATGAGACCCCGGCCTTCTTCGGGCACAGAACCTTGATCAGCCAAGCAGGAACAACAGGCTGTAAATCAATGTCTGCTCCACCGTAGATCTTCATGGGTGGCGGGGGGGGGGGGGCCGCCCTGCCGTCTCACCACAGGATACAGGGGGGTCTCTGCTCCGGCACTCCTCCCCCCTCCTTTCTTCCTCCGTTCCTCCACTGACCTTGGTGTTCATGCAGCTGCAGCAACTCCTCCTCACAAGTCCGACTGCCCGTCACCACGTCCCTTCTTAAATACGTTGTCGCAGAGGCGCAGCCGATTGGCTCAATTTCCCAAACAGAAGTGGAGCTGACGTGGAGCTGGGGGAGCTTCGAGAAGCTTCTCACAGGGGGCCGCCCCGATAGCCCCCTCCCCTGCCACCAAAAAACTCCACCACTCACTCAACCCAGGACAGCCACCTTCGGTGGGGCGCGGGGGGCAGGAAGAAGCACTCAGAGACGGGGTCAGGGAAAAAGGAGTTTATTTCCCCTTCCTGGGAAAGGGGACACGCGGCAGCCCTGCTCTCAGCGCCGGCGGGGCGGCCTCTTGCCGGGCTGGGGACCGTCCCGGGGGCCGGGGGCCCTCCTCTTCGGGGGGCGCCGGGGCCCCCCAGGCGAGCGGTCCCTGCCCCGGCCGGGAGCGGAGGGGCTGCGGCTGCAGCCCCGGGCAGAGGGACCTGCCGCCGCCGCCTCCCCCGGCTTCTGCCGGGGCGGGCGCGGCCGGGGGGCGGCCGGGAGCCCCGCGGAGGGCGGCCCCCGACGTGCCGCCTTCCTCCTCCCCGGCGGAGCCTGCAGGGCTGCTGGAGGCGGCCGGGCCGGGGCCGGGGCCGGGGCCGGGGCCGGGGCCGGGGCCGGGGCCGGGGGTGACCCCCGGGAGGCGCTGGGGCTGGGAGTTCCCGCCCTGGAACTGGTGCAGATGCAAGTGTTGGAGCTGGAGCTGCTGGAGCTGCTGGAGCTGGTGCAGCTGCAAGTGGTGGAGCTGGAGCTGGAGCTGGCCGCAGGGCTGTCTTCCCCCTGCCCCGCAGCCTCGGAGCGCAGCAGCCTCTCAGCCTCCTCGCTGCACTGGCCCACAATGATATCGATGATGCCATCGACCAGCGGTGCTGTATCTTCCGCAAGGACAGGCTGCAACAGCTGGACCATGACCACACGATCTGGACCATAGAGGCACAGGGCGTGCAGGATGCGGCTCTCCACCCTGTGTGCCAGCCGCCACCGGGACCCATATATTGCCTGCAGCTCCCGGCGCAGCCAGGGCAGCACGGGGTCCAGGAGATGATGCTCTTCTCTTTGGAAGAGTTCTGCCCAGACCTGGGGCAGGAGGCCACCCACAGCTTCTGTCCCTGCAGACCCCTGCTCAGCTGGAGATGTCACGGCACGATGGGGGCTGTTTTCGGCCAGGGGGCTGTTTTCTGGCAGATGGCTGGGAGCTGTTGCTAGGAGGTGTGTGCCGACACACTGTAGATAGTCATTTCCTGCCCCCACAGAAAACCAGATAATATCTAATGGTCCTCTGCAGAGTGGACACACTGGTTTCACGTCTGCCCACCGCAGGATGCAGCCCAGGCAGAACTGGTGGTCACAGGGGCTGACATAAACCGCATCTCTGTGAGCGCCGCGGCAGATGGGGCAGCACCACTCTGTCTCCGTGGCCATGTTTCCTTCGTGCGGCGGGCTGGGGAGAGCCAAGGACGGGGAGCTGCTCCCCTCCACTGGCGTCACACGCTGCAAAAGGGAGAGAGGCCGCGGTCACTCGCTGTGCCGGGGAGGGGAAGGGAGGCAGGAGCGGCCAGGCCCCTCGCGAAGGACGCCCTCCCGGCTCCCCGAGCCCCACGGCCGCCCCACGGCCGCCCCGTGGGGACGCTTCCCCCCACAGCTCACCTCCGCTGCCGCAAGCGCGCCCGGCGGTGCCCGGCTGCCTGAACCAGGCAGGGCCGGGGAAACGCAGGGGATGGCTCCGGGACGGGCACCGAGAGCTGCCGACGGCAGCCCCCAAAGCGCCGCCCAGCACCAGGAGCAGCCTCGCTCGACCCTCCAGACCTCGCAGGCACGCTCGGCAGGAGTCCAGGCACGAGCCAGGCTGGGCCAGCGGCTGCCGGCGCCCGAGACAGGCAGCGAGGGACGCGAGGTCACAGTCCACTGCCAGGTGATGTCACCTTCCATCGCGCGGTGACGTCACAGCGGGCTGCCTGCTCCCATGGTGCCTGCTCGGGTAGCGCTGTGGCTGGCATTGGCACTTGTGCCGATGAAAAATTTAATCATTCCCATATTCCTTGAACTTAGAAACGAGCCAGTCTCCTTCCGCTTGAACTTTTTTGACTGCAAGCACAAGTCGTCTAGACATGCCATAGCTGAAGCACGACGGAGGAGAAGAAGCCGTCAGAATCATGACAGCCTGAGAAGCCCTGTTAGGGAGCTCTACAGCAAAGGCGGAGTTTGCACAGAAAATGCCCTGGGTATGGCAGAAGCACAAACCTCACTTTCAGAGATTTGCAGAGAGTTGCTCGCTACAGGAAACTGATGTCCAAATAGGTTTTCTTTTTCTTTTCCTACTCATCCTATATAGCTTAAGTTCAATTTCAATGGCAGTACAATGTCAAATTCTGTTTGCCTGGGATTCCTTACTTTGGTAAGCTGAGAGACACATTGGAAGTAAGACTTGAGATGGCAATATCTCAAATAGGATCATCTCCTGAAGAACCTGTGAGAAATACACTCTCTCGATGAAACGGGGCTTCAGGGCAAGCTACAATGGACAATGTGGAAGCAATGCGGTAGCTGAGATTTATTTCCTTGCAACCTCCTAGCCCAAGGAAAATGATCATCTCTAGACCATGCAATCCAATTTAAAAATACCGTCTTGTTTTTTGAGACTAGGCATGAGGAATTACTTCCATGTTTCTTAGAAGTATTCTGGAAGTAAGTGGAAAAACACTGGTTTTAAGGGCTTCATAGAAAGAGATCTTTAGCAGTTCAGAAGCTTCCCTTTGCAAAATGTATGTACCAAATGATCTCATTTTCTTCATCACTGGAGCAGCATTCCCACCTAAGCTCCTACTTCTTCCTATCACTTCGCCCATTTTGAGCTCCTTAAGAGTATTCGTTGATTTACGGGACATGACCAGAGAGCACTAAAAAAACCCAACATCCTAGGTCCTAGGTTGCAGTTGAAAGTTTCCATCAACACATTATTTCTAATCTGGAGCCTTCCTGAACAACCCAAGAGTAACAGCAAAATGAAGCTTGTGCTAGACTCATGCAAATCTCATTGTCTTTTCATCAGAGTTAAGTTTCTTTCCACATTTTCCAGCTTTTGTCTTTCTTTGCCTCTACCATCCATAGCGATCTGAAAACCACTGACGACCCTTTTAAGTCAGGAGCCAGTTCACTAACCCCCGTTACAGAGTTCCTTTTTCTTTTTTTTTAGTTGTATTAACTCAAGAATATGCTCAGTAGTTTATTACTTCTAACCCTGCATTCTAGTGAAAGTTAAGATTCCAAGCTGATGCCATTATTGAAAATAATCATATTGTACTTCCTTGTTTAATGGTACCGAAATCCTGCTCCAAGATGAACATGGTATATATTTGGCTACTGAAAGGTCATGTTTTTGTGTACAGTTGTGTGCGTATATTAAGTGTGGTTTGTTTTGTCTTGTTTTTTTTTTTTTTTTTTTTCCCCCGGTTACCCTAAAAAAAGGGAATTGTGCTACCCTTGAGTTAGGTATATCAAGAGCAGAAGGAATTTTCTGCCTAAAAGATACTACAGTGAAAAAAAAAAACCAACATAGGGGCAATTAAAAAATAAATTAAAAATCTATATTAAAAAATAAAGACTAGTTTTTGTTTTAAAAACTTAAGAGGGTTTTGGTTTTGTTTTACTTTGGTTTGGGGTGTGTTGCTTTTTTCACTTTTCAAAACTATAATTCACATGATTGAATTCTCTCCTTGATTTCAGTTAAACCCTTGAAAGTGCTGAGCTGTTACGTGGTTGTTTTGGTTAAAATTGCTACCTTACACTTCCAACAGTCACTGATTTTTCTCCCATACAGCAGATTAAAAGTGTTTTACAATTCTTTGTGGTGAAAATAGCAATATAAAGAAATTTCTTAATTCCCTTGTTTCTGTTCAGTGAAAGAAACCCATTTTAATTACAGTGTGATTCATTCCAATACCCCGTGTGTGAAATGAAAAGGAAGATCAATGCCTCACAGTCAGATTTTATTGCTTGAATATTATACCGACAACACTCTAAAGAAGCACACTTTTGAA